TGTCTGCGAAGTTCACACAAAGACAGTGCTTAGGGAACCACACAGGGGACCACGCAATGCCAGGAACTGAGCCTGGGCATTCTTTTTCTTTTTATTCATTTATTTGTTTTGCTTTTGGGGGTCATACCCAGCGATGCACAGGGGTTCCTCCTGGCTCTGCACGCAGGAATTATCCCTGCCGGTGCTCGGGGGACCTTATGGGATGTTGGAAATTGAACCCGGGTCCGCTGCAAACACCCTATCTGCTGCTCTATGGCTCCAGCAGTGAGCCTGGGCATTCTTTAAAGTTGCTTTTATTTTGGTATTTCCCTGTTCCTAGTTATACTTCTAATTATTCAATATTATAGATATAGTTCATGTTAATTTCCAATCTGCTTTCCAAATCAGATGTATTACCAATGAAAGGAGACCAGACTTATGTTCTTTCTCTCTGGGCACCCTCTCTCTTGGTGCTCCAAGGAGTACTCATGAGACCCAAGGACGCTACTGGTGATTCTTTAGCAACTGAACTGGCAGTTCAATGTAAGGGCCCAAGGATGCAATACTACTCAGTCTTTATGGATACAGGGATTATGTGAATCATCCTCTGCCCCCCAGTCCCCGGAAACCTCCAAGTTCACACAAGACAGTGCTTAGGGAACCACACAGGGGACCATGCAATGCCAGGAACTGAGCCAACATCAAGCACATGCTAAGTATGTGCCCCACTAGGAGTGATCCCAGGGCACAGAGTCAGGAGTAAACCTCGAGTCTGGTGTGACCCTAAAACCAAAACAAACCCCTCAATTTTACCAGCATCTATGTAAAAACAAAGGTGAGTCCCTTTTCTTAAATATATCAAGATAATCTCTATGACAAATGAAGTAATTTGTCTTAGGTTTCATCGTTGCATAGGTATAAAATATCAGAGGTAAGTCTAGGACCAATTTACATGCTCTCTGAATCAAAACACTTTCCTGCAATAGTGTTCTTATTTTTCTATTTTTTAAAAATAGAGTCTATTACTAGACTTCAATATTGTAACGTAATACATGCTTGATTTTCCCCTTGATCCCTGTTCCTTTTTTGTTTCTTTCCTCAATGCTCAGGGACTGGGGTTCAAAGTTTCACAGCCTCTTGTGGACTCTGTTCTCAACTAATGACTTTCAGAGTTCTTCGGGGACTGTTCAGTCCCAGTTGAGGGCCATATGAGATAAACTACTGGGATCTTCAAAAAGACCCAGCATTTCAGTCAGAAAATATTGTTGAGGCTGAGCTAACATCCATCCTGAGTTCTCACAGGAAGCATGCTGTCCAAGCTCTTTTCTCTCTAGCTTCTGGTGCCCAGGTATGTACTATAAGAAGATTCTCAAAAACTGCAAGGAACACTGATAAAATTAGTCCAAGCACTTCTTTCTCACTCTTAGATGCTTGCTAAAGTTCCACATTAAATCAAATATCTTTTAAGGAGAAAATATATTTAGGAATAAGAGAAGTACATTAATAATTATAGCTCTGGAACTGTGTGTAATACTGGAACAGTCATCTTAGCCATTCAGTCTACTATTCTTCTAGTTGTTTCTATATTAGTTATTATTTTTTAATTAAAAATTCAATATCTACTTCCATAGCCTTAAAATTATGACTATTAAATAGTAAAAAAAGTAAACTTGATAGTTTTTTGCAAAAATAAATTAGTATTCTTGGAATAACTTTTCTCAGGCAGTGATCAACACAGATGATGGTAATGGTAACCATATTTGCATGCAAATATATATAAGGAACATGATTTAAAGGGAGTCACAGTGTCACTGAAATCATTTATTTTTCCTATTTCTGACATATACCCTAGTTATATCCCATTGTCCTAAAAAATTGGAGATGAAGATGAAATTGGTGGCATGTAGTCTAAAGAATAGTCCAGCTAAACTGTTTTGATATAATAATCACAATTTGAGAATTCCTAGAAAGAAAATATACAGCATCTATGCTAAAAACCATCCCATGCACTCATTCAGCAAACTCTTCCAAGTTCCTAATTTGTGCCAGAATTACAAGTCTCTAGCAATACATTAATTCCATTTCTCTAGCAGTAGTTTTTTTTATAGTGATTTTCTTCTTCATACCTGTCACACTTACCCTCTTACCCATACCCAAAATATAATATCCAAGAAATTTATTTGGAAGGGGTGTCACAAAGAGGAGTGTCACAAAGAGGGATATAAATTAAGCAATAAAATTATCTTTTCCTATGTGGACATAAAGGAGCAGAATAGATCACTAAATGGTTATATTATTATTAAAAATAATAATATTTCTCTCAGAAATAGATCAGAGTGAGATGAATGGAAATCAGCTTCCTACAATTTGGCTGGATATGACCAGAAACATAGTTCAGTGGCCAAAGTGTTCTCTTTGCATGCACCTGAACTGGGTCCTATCCCCAGCACTACCTACAGCCTCCTGAGCACTTTTAGGAATGATCCCTGAGAGCAAAGCCAGGAGTAAGTGCTGAACATTACTGAGTATGGCTCAAAATAACATCAACAAGAACAACAACAACAACAAAATTAGAGTTGAACAGATATCTTCACTTAACTGATGGAAAACTTTCTTCCAGAATTTCATGACCTTTCTTAAATATTGTCCTGAATTTCAGAGAAATATTGAATTTTTGTCCTTATTTTTCACAGCTGATCCAAATGTAATGATACTGCTCAGTTCATTTTTTCTTAACTCGTTACCTTAATTTTTCTTCTTTTCTAGCTGACCCTCTTTACAGTTATTATTAATTTTCATTTGAATTCAAATAATAAGATAATCTTATTGTCATACTAATTGCATTTTTTTACTTTAAGAAAACAAAAAATTAAGGAGAGAATGAAAAAAATCAGAATGTACTTTTCTTCTTTCTTTATCTTCAGACAATTAATATTCTTCTACAATAATGAGGAAAAAACTGAAAAAATACCATCAAATTCTCTTCTCTCTTCCTTAAAATATCCTGATATTTAAGATTTATCTAGGAAGAAAATTACCAAAAATATCCACTGATTTTACTTATTCTTATACTGCATATTTAAGATCATATCTTTTCCCAATCCACTGAAATATTTTCTAAAAAAATATGTGTGACCTTGCCTGCTTTAATTGTGTGCAATGCCTGCTTTAAATCCATATCCTAACTACGTAATTTTTGAGTCAGTAATGATAATTTTACATGGTTTATATTATATTCTGTTATTTATTTTCTGTTTCTCTTATTTTTATCTCTTATTTTTTCTGTTTCTCTTGTTTTTTTATCTAGTTATAACGTTATACACTCAAATCCTCAATTAAATCAAAGATCATTAGACACAGGATCCTTTAAACAACATTCATAGTAAATTTTTTTAAGTTCACTTTCAGTGTATATCAAACAGAACTCCAAATTCAGTCTTTCCAACCTGTTCCTCCAAATTAATTGCTATCCATCTATGTTATGCACATTATGGGAAGAGCTATAAATAAGCATGCCACAGTAAATAAAAATCACATTTACATAAAGAAGGGAAATAGAGTAGTATAAGAGCATAATGTTATGTAATTCCATATTGATTGCTTCATATCTTTAATTTTCACTTGAAATAACCCCTTTAAAATTTCTTATATATCAGGCCAAATAAACTCCATCGGCTTCTATCATAAAAATGAAATAACAATATTTTTATTTTCTAATTGACTTCTTAAAATTTGTTTGACTCCCAAATGTACTGGTGGTCAGAAAAAATGGTATTAAAAAATAATATAAACTCTGCTATATACTGTCATGGCTTGAATGCTATCATCAATCTTATTTGCCCTCTTCACTTACTAGGTTACCATCTCTCTTCATCAATGCATTAATTTTTTTCATTAAATATAGCCTATTTTATTGAATTGTAAGGATTGAATAATATAAATATAAATAAGGTAATTAAGGAGATGATGGAAATTTATTCAATGGATATAGGGTGTTTTACCTCTTAATGCATGCAGTTAACACTATAATAGTCACACTGTATTAGACTATTATACACAAAACCACCTACATACTATGGCTTACAATAAATGAAAATACATAACAATTTTAAAGACATAAGTAAAAAACTCCATTTTTAGATATTACAAGGATGGGTCTATATTAGTGACACTCAGACATAGAGGCAGAATTTAGTCTTGGAGTCTTAGGATTTATTTTCTAATAATAGCTAAATATTAGAGCTACCCGTGGCCATTTCAAGTTTCTCTTTGTTATTTACTTTTCATATTTGATGTGCCTTTTCTCAACATTTCCATATTAAGCCCCAAATTTTAACTTTTTAGAACTCTCTTTCTACCTTTTAGAACTAAGCCCTAGAGAAATTTTCTAAGATTTGTTTCCTGAGGTCACAGAACACCTTTTTAAAAGATATTAATTACTCCAAACTTCAGTTTTGTTCTCCATCATCTTCCTCCTTAGCTTTATGTAGACTCAAGAAAGGCAACATTCTCAAAGACTTTAACATTTACACAGCATTTCCTCTGTATCTGCCTGTAGATTCGATATTTCAAAAGTAAGCAAAATACCAGGAATATATTGAAAAACATGTAATACACCTAATCCAAGTGTAGATAGGTGCTGTAGAAGACAAAGTTTTGAAGCACTGATTTCTTGTAGGCTCTACATATTTTGGTTATTGAATTGGAATGTTTTTCTTTTCAGAGAAAACACATTTAAAAGTTTCCTTCTGAGATGATATCATTAAGCCATTGAGAGTTCAATATTTTTGATATACCACCAAATGGATAAACCATAATGTACTTCTTGGCTCTAAAATTATGTTACATAAGAGTCCCTCCTAGATGCTTCTATTAGATCAGATACCATAATTCTTTCCGATATTTTTCTGGACCATTCTAACTCACAGGCTCCAGGACACACAGGTGAGTGAGAATTCAGAATTGCCACTCTAAGAATTTTGTTCTTTATTGCAGATTGCTGAATCTAAGATTATAAAGCCATGACAATCTTTTACAACAGCAGCCTAGAAAAAGCCACTTTCTTCTTGACAGGCTTCCAAGGTCTGGAAGATTACCACGGCTGGATCTCTATTCCTTTCTGCTCAATCTACTTGACAGTTATTGTAGGAAATGTTACCATCCTCCATGTCATCCGTACTGATGCTACCCTCCATGAACCTATGTACTATTTCTTGGCCATGTTGGCCCTCACGGACTTGGGTCTTTGCCTTTCTACACTTACCACTGTGCTGGGTATCTTCTGGTTTGATTTCCGAGAGATAGGCATACCTGCCTGTTTCATGCAGCTCTTCTTCATCCATACTCTGTCCCTTGTGGAGTCCTCGGTTCTATTATCCATGTCCATCGACCGCTATGTTGCCATCTGCAATCCGCTGCGTTATTCCACCGTCTTGACACCTGCACGCATTATCAAGATGGGCCTGGGCTCGTTGTTTAGAAGTGCATTGCTCATCCTCCCCCTGCCATTCCTTCTTAAACGCTTCCATTATTGCCGCACCCATGTGCTGGCTCATGCCTATTGTCTGCACCTCGAGATCATGAAGCTGGCCTGCTCTAGCATCATTGTCAATCATATCTATGGACTCTTTGTTGTAGCCTGCACTGTGGGTGTGGACTCATTGCTCATTTTCCTTTCTTATGCTCTTATCCTCCGCACTGTTCTAAGCATTGCTTCCCGACAGGAGAGACTTCGGGCACTCAATACCTGTGTTTCCCACATTTGTGCTGTGCTCCTGTTCTATATCCCCATGATTGGATTGTCTCTGGTACATCGCTTTGGGGAACATCTTCCTCGTATTGTACACCTTCTCATGTCTTACGTATATCTGTTGGTACCACCTCTCATGAACCCTATAGTTTATAGCATCAAGACCAAACAAATCCGCCAGCGCATTGTTAAGAAGTTTGAGTTTATGAAATCATTGAAGTGAATGTTTTTGATACTGGGCTTTAGGGAAGGTGTGAAATAAAACCCAAACATTAATTGTAAACAGTAATTAAAGTTCGGGATAACATTCACCATCTAAGTAATTAATCAAGATCTTGGTTCTTACTTTGAGTTATCTTGGGATAAAAAGGTGAGAGAAAGGCTTACACACTTACTAGTTTTTGTAATATGTTTAACTCATATCGGTGTCCATTCATACTAGAAAACACACATACATAGAGAGTTGGGAAGGGGATAGAGTAGAAAGATAAAATTGCATGAAAGGTTGAATATATATGGGTTGAATAGATCTATATGTAAATGAACCAATTAAAAGATAATTATAAGGAATTATAAGGGTCTTATTCTTTTGAGGAGAATTTTTTTTGGAGAAAAGAAATGTCTCTCATCAGCTTTTGTGATTTCATTGATCTTATCGCTTTACTTCAATATAGAATAAGTTATGGATAAGTAACTTGCAGAAAATTGAAGAAAAATAAGCACATGTTGTGTATGATTCTAAAGTTTCTCTCCAGAGTCAAAAGCATGGGATCTTCTATGAATAGCAGATAATCCACATCCTTCATTGTATTGAACATTTTAGTTCAGCTAAATTCTGTGCTTGGCTTTTAATTACCATTGTCTTTCTTTTCTGGCCAACTCAAGGGAATTATACATTCTTAGATACAACTGTCACTTCTGTGAATCTCTGTCGAAATTGTTGGCTTTGTGGACTCCTTGGTTTTGATCTTCACAACCTATCTAATGTTCTTGTTACCTTAAGATTAAATCACTTTGATGTTATAAATACCTTCCTCATTCAGTTATTCTTCATTCATGGTTTTTCCCTTTTGAAATTTTGAGTCCCTTCACAAAGACCTTGACAACTGGGAAGTCATTTCTTTTCCATTGAGATATGACACATTGTGCACTGCTTTCAGAGTGCACTGTTTCCTCTAGGAGCCTGACCCTCAGTCTTTTCCTAAGAGCCTTCCTAAAATGATTCCCTTATTGCGGGGTAAAGCGCTGACTCATCTATCTGGGTTACAGGAACAACGGCCTTTCCCGTTGCATCAACTACTTTTATACCCCACTTGCACCACATTGTGCTGGAGCTATAGCAAAGCGGGTAGGGCATTTGCCTTGCACGTGACCGACTCAGGTTTGATTCCTCAGTCCCTCTTGGACAGCCCAGCAAGCTACCAAGAGTATCCCACCCACAAGGCAGAGCCTGGCAAGCTCCCTGTGGCGTATTCGATATGCCAAAAACAATAACAACAAGTCTCACAATGGAGACGTTACTGGTGCCTGCTAAAGCAAAATGATGAACAACAGGATGACAGTGCTACAGACAGCACCACATTTAGGCTAAAGTAGATTCTAATCTCATCCTTACCTTTACCTTGCATATATTGGCCTACAAAACAGAAACAGAGCTGGCTGGCATTGGGTACTGAGGACCAGTGTTTCTTCACCTATGCATTGTTATTATTTTCCATGTCTTCCTAAAATATTGTTGATTTTGCACCTATTTGGAAGAACGGTATTTTCTATATTGCATTTGGTTCTGGGGATCATTACTTTCATCAGTCTCCTGAATTGTATTTCATAGTTTATAGTGTCAGATTAGTCAGTATCTTAAAATTCGTATGATACAACTATGATATTGAAGCAGCAGGGACACGTTCCCGAGTAAAAGGAATATTTATAGATAGATGGCACAATTTTGTTCCATAGGAGGGTAATACAGTTTATAAGAAAGGAAATGTTTTATTGTCATTGTCTTCATTTTAAATAATGCATGTAATTAGTACGTGCACTATTTATATACACTTTTATAGCATACTTGATATATCACTTAGATAGAAAACATAAATAATTGGTAGAATTTTCACCAGGTGTGAACCATGACTCAAAGTAGTGAAATACATGTGTGGTGTATGTGAAATTCTTTATTTCCTCCCTGGTACTACATGGCTCTCCTGAGGAGCACTAGGTATGATCTTGGTGGCTCTTAGCATCACCAGGTTTGAATATTTCAGTGCACACTGAACCACTGGACTACGTTGCAGGTTTTCATCAGTCAGTAGTTAGATATCTTTGAGTTCCCCTAATCTTGCCCATATCTCTTGGTATGACATATAAATAATAAATGACATTGGAAAAGTTATTCTGTCACATCTTCTTTAAAAATGCTTTAACTGGCAGCTGGAGTGATGGTACAGCTGGAAAACTGGTAGGGTGATTGCCATGCATGTGACTGAGCCAGATTCAATCACCAGCACCATATATGGTATCCCAAGACCTGGCAGGAATCATCCCTGAGCACAGAGCAAGAAGGAACACTTGAGCATCAATGAATGTGTCTTTAAAAACAAAACCAAACAAACATAAGAGAAGTGGTGAATTCCTCATGGATTCACTCAGAGGAAAAGTCAGGTGAGGACATAGAAGATCAAAGGTATTCATTTGCAGACCAAGAGAGGAGTCAGAAGAAACCAAACCTCTTGAATAGTGTTGAACTTTGCTTGTCTCCGGAAATATGAGAATATAAATGTTAGCTGTTACAGTCACTCAGTATTCCATGATTTGTTATGGCATTATGAGAAAAGAATGTAAGATGTATCAAAGCTTTAGAACTAAGTTCAGGCTAAAAGTGAAGATGTGCTTTTCATTGTAGAAGTAATGATAAACTCTGGGGTCAGAGTTGAATATAAATTACTTAGACAAAGATTGGGCTGGAGCAATAGCACAGCAGGTAAGGTGTTTGCCTTGCAAGCGACCAATATGTCCGACCCGAGTTTGATTCCTTGGCCCCTCTCCGAGAGCCCAACAAGCTACCGAGAGTATCTCGCTTGCACGGCAAAGCCTGGCAAGCTCCCCGTGACGTAGTCAATATGCCAAACACAGTGACAACAAGTCTCATGATGGTGATGTTACCGGGCCCGCTGGAGCAAATCGATGAACAACAGGAGGACCGTGACCGTGAGACAAAGATTATGACAATTTCTAAATTGTTAGGAACAGAAAGGTAGTAATGTGGGTACAGCAGTTGTCTTGCATGTGGCTGACCCTGGATGATTTGATCACCCAAGTTTGATCACCAGGTTTCACCAGGAGTGATCCATGAGTGCAATGCCAGGAGTAAGAACTGAGAACCATTGGGTGTTGCCTAAAAAACAAAAAAAAAAAGAAGAAATTTCTAAATAATTCTAATCAAAGACAATTTCTGAATCTGTCCTGCTAGAATGAGGCCCAGGAATCTGCATTTTAACAATCATTGATAAAATTTTTATTATCTGAGGACATTATTTAGAAAAACAATGCACTGCTTTATAACATTTAAACATATCTACAATGCTTTCAACTTTAGGTGGAACATAGTCTCAAGACAAAGCCCATCAAACTCTAAGGAGTCAGTGAGAAAAATAATTGAAATAAATTCTTACAAATGTTTTACAAATTCTGGAACTTTTAAAAACAAATATGACATAATTATATTAACATGCATACATAAAATAATCTCTGTATAAAGTCCAAAAAGAGTTCCTAAAGGCTACAAATTGATTGAGTAATGAAACACTGAATTAGTCCTTCCTGTAATCATCCCTGTAAAATTCCTTCTACATCCATTTTCAGACTCTAAAAGTCAATGATTCACTCTTCATATTTCTACATTAATATATAAAACTACATTTTAGGGTTTACCACACTTTGCAGAGTTTCATGTTGCCTATAAGGGCTGAATATAGATTTGTTTCTCCAAGAAATTCCTTTATGTCCACAAAGTGATGAGTTTTGAATTACCCAAATGAGAAAGAAAAGATGAAGCCATTCGATATAGGTGTGAGTAAAGACTATATGGGAGAGTTACTTGGGTTAGCCAGAATAAGGGGTAGCCTTGTCACTGTATTTCCTTGTGAACTTGACTGGCTTCTTTCTTATCCATTTGCTGATGGAAATCACTAAGTAAAATGCCATGTTTTAATATTATATGTGACTATACAAACCAAACATGTATACCCTCACAGCTAATGCACATAAACTGTATACTTAGATATATCACACATAAAACACTAAAAACAGCACATACTATGCTTTTCTGAAATTGTGGGGTTTTCAGAGCTTTCACTGCACTTCAGCAATAGCTACAAGTACATTGATCTCATCCTGTGGACTTCCCATCTACACATATAACAAGATCACTCTTCTCTCCCTTCACTCCAGGCGCTAAGATAATGAGTTCCAGGGAGATAATTCTGGTAGGTAATGTGTTAAAAATTCTTCAATGTGTCTCCAAGGGGGCATCAGGCAGTTGCATAAAAATCATGGGGTTAAGCATCCACCCTCAGGTTTCTCTACATCCCACAAAGCCTCTAGGCTTTCATTCTTTCATTTTTAAATTGTAAATTTACAATTAAAAATTCTGGAGCCTTGGGACCTAACCTTGGTATATAAGGAGTCAGTATAATTGGAAGGTGTTTGATGCTGGGTTGTGGAGCCGATTGGAGGCCCAGATGACTCCGTTTGAGCTTTGGAGGAGAGAAGGGGCTTTAAAAAAATAAGAAAGGCTAGAGAAAGTTTTGGTAAGAAATGGTGCCTACTGACATGGATCCTGCTTGATTTCCTGGGATTCCAAGTAAGATTTTACTACCAGCTCATAAAGGAGACAACATCTCCAGCCCCAAGAGTTGCCTGATGCATAATAAGAATGTTGTTGAGACCTAGGGAAACAGGCAAAGTAGGTAAGCACTTTAGGATGCAGGAAATGAATGATTGTGATTACTCTGGATGAAGTATCTTTTTTTCTTTCTTTCTTTTACTTATTTAATTTTTTTGAACCACATCCTGCGCTGCTCAGGACTTACTTCTGGCTCTATACTCAGGGATTATTCCTGGTAGGGCTTTCAGACCATATGCATTGCCAGGGATCTAACTCTGATCTGTTGCATGCGAAGCAAATTCCCTACCCACTGTGCTATATCTCCAGACCCAGCAGTGTAC